TGAATCAACAGTCTGGCATTGAAATCCCCCAGAATCATAGTAGTGCTGTGAGGCGTTGTCGGCCGGATGTATGCGTCCAGGTCGGAGTAGAAGTCGCGCCTGACCTGTTCATGGTGTCCACTGTGTGGCGCGTAAGCGGTGATGAGGGTTAGCATCCCGCCAACGATCTTTATTCTCAGGGAGGCGAGTCTTGGCGAAGAGGCATGGAACGCAACTGCTGATTTTTCGGCCCATGGTGCAACTATGAAGCCGACCCCGGCATCTGAACGTTTGTTTGCATCAAGTTCCCCTGACAAGCAAACCAGAAAACCCTCTTCATGTTTGTAGTAATCTGTACCATGCAAGTGCGTCTCTTGTATGCATAATATATCGATGTTCTGCTTTCGCATTGTGCCGAACAACTCTGTGAACTTAACCTGCGAATCCCCCCTCAGACCTTCCACGTTCCAGGAGCCCAGTCTAATCGTCGATGTCGGCAAGCATGCTGTGCGAGGCCTGCCCCATGAACTTCGCGATTGTGGAGTGGGTGGAATCGAAGACGGTGCGATAGCAGAAGAAAAATCGAGCGATGTATCATTGTCGCCCTGATCAGATAAAGTCTCAAACTCTGTACCTTCGTTGGCAATTGCTGGTGATATGAAAGCGCTTTCAAAGAAAATACGTGGAGATGTGTAGCCAAAACTTGAAGTAGAAGCAAATGCGGTAATGGTATCTTTGCCCATTTCCGTAACAGCCCCTGGAGAAGACGAAAAGGAAACATCAGGATCACTGTGAACATGTGCGTGGGGGTGCTGATGAGGACGCCCGTGTAAACCGTGCGCGGTAGCGGTAACTTTGCCCATCTCCGGCACAGATTCCAGAGTAGAGGAATGCGGAAAAAGAGATTGGAGAGGTACACGTGTTCCTGCGAGGGGTCGTCCATGAAGGGGCCGGTGAGCTTCCTGAGGTAGGTGTGGCAGGCTGGTAACTTTGCCCATTCCTGCCGTCGTCGTCGCCGGTGGTGATGGTGCGTCGGCGTCGGTGCCGGTTCCGGCCTCGATCGGCACCTGCCGCGTTTCTCAAAATCTCCCCCCTCCTTTGGACTGCCCTTTGGGACCTCCTTTCATTCCCGACGAAGCTCTGCAAACCAAATCGTCACATTTGGACGTAAGTTCTTTGAGCTTCTCGTGCTGCTGGAGGTCGTCCCACTCGCCCCACTTGTTAAACCACTCCCGTTTCAAACTTGTATCTGTTGTTGTCACTTTTAGTGCTAATTCTCCTCCTACGTGGACCTGGTATGGCGATTCGTCGTTCACTTTAATGACGTACTCCATGCCCATATGATCTTTCAACATGTACTTGAGTCCAAAGCAAAAGTTTCTCGCTGCACGCTCAGTCGAACGTCGATCAACGCGTGGCCGCCATGCGAATCAGGCCACTGGGGCCTTCGGTGGAGCTCCCTATGGGGCCACGATCCTCGTGAGGGGTGCGCCAAAATGGGGCGGGGCCGCCATGCGAACCCTGCCACTGGGGCCTTCGGTGGAGCTCCCTATGGGGCCGCGAAGCGTGTGAGGGGTGTGCCGAAATGGGTGATTCTGATGACCATGATGATGATGATGATGATGATGATGATGATGATGGTGGTGATGATAACGTCGATGATTTCGATGATGATGATGGTGAGGATGATTATGATGGTGATGATAGGAGAGAGGAGGTGGAGGAGGAGGAGAGGAGGAGGTGAGACGCGGGGCGCTGTCTCTTCAAAACGAGGACCCAACACCACAGGATGGTTGGGACAAACATACAAAAACACAGGGTTTCGTAACACTGATTTGCTAAAACAGCTTACGCGCGAGCTCTTGCGACATCTTAAGAAAACCATTTTGGTTTTTCAAGATTTTCACAACATGCTACCAAACGGGCGTCGCGCGCGCATGTCGAAATCTGTCGAACGCCCTTGCGCGTGTGCCGTCGCGAGAATCCTCTGCCAATAATGGGACGACGTGCAGACGCGCGCGTCGTCGCGCGCGTACGCCGAAATCCTTCAAAACCCATCGGTTTTGGAAGGATTTCAAAATCGCGCGTCCACTGACTGATTTTCAACAAAAGCGTGCGCGCGCGCTCTTGCGGCGTCGTCGTCGTCGTCGTCGTCGTCGTCGTCGCCGTCCTCCCTCCTCCCGCGTCGTCGTCGTCGTCGTCGCCTACGTGGTCCCGTGTCTTTCCTCGTGTTCGTCGTCGTCGTCGTCCTCTTTGGCGTCGTGGTCGTTTCCGTCGTCGTTGTCGCAGTGGTCGTCCTTCCTCCTCCTCCCTCGTCGTCGTCGTCGTCGTCGTCGTCGTCGTCGTCGTCGTCGTCCGTCGTCGGCGTCTCGTCGTCGTCCCTCCTATTTCGTCGCCGTCGTCGTCGTCGTTGTCGTCGTCGTCTCGTCGTCGTCTTCCGCCTCCCTCGTCGTTGTCGTCGTCGGCGTCGCCGTCCTTCCTTCTTCGTCGTTCGCGTCGTCGCCGTCCTCCCTCCTCCCTCGTTGTCGTCGTTGTCGTCGTTGTCGTCGTTGTCGCCGTCGTCGTCCTCCCTCCTCCCTCGTCGTCGTCTTCGTTGGCGACGTCGTCGTCGTCTTCGTCGTCGTCGTCGGCGTCGGCGTCGTCGTCTTCGTCGTCGTCGTCGACCTCGGCGTCGTCGTCGTCGCCGCCGTCCTCGTCGTTGTCGTCGTCGTCGTCGGCCGTCTTGCTTTTCCGGCCTTCTTGGGGCGCTCTTGAGACGCCCCCAAGGGCTCCAAGACGACCCCGGAGCGATATCTGTGCTCGGTCCCGCATGGGTTTTGCAAACCAAGTTGCGGGTGGGTGGGTGGGATGATTGCGCGAGCACTGGAGTTGACAACTTCAAGTTCGGCAAGTGAATTCTCCTTTCTAAAAAGAGAATAGAGTCTACCCCCCCCGGACTTATCGGTTCCCCCTGGGATAGTATGAATTCATATATATATGTATATATATATATATATATTCTGCACACTCGTCCATCCTAAATATGAAATCATAGCATCCCAGCCAAACCGGTTTCCCCCCCCTCAGGTTCCCTTGTAAAAAACAGTATGCGGTGACATTTTTTGTTCTAATATAGCACTTTTTCGCGAATTTCTTGCAACAGATGAGACGAAATGCGCACGCGCGCGTCGTCGCGCGCGCATGCCGAAATCCTTCAAAAAACGTTCGGTGCGGGAAGGATTTCGCAATCGAGATTCCAAAAAACATACAAAAACACAGGGTTTCGCAACACAGAGTTGCTAAAAAAGCTTCTGCGGAAGCTCTTGCGAAATCTTAAGAGAACCATAGGTTTTTCAAGAATTTTACAAAACGCTACCAAACGGGCTTCGCGCGCGCTCATGTCGAAATCTGTCGAACGCCCTTGCGCGTGTGCCGTCGCGAGAATCCCCTGCAAAAGCTGGGACGAAGTGCAGACGCGCGCGTCGTCGCGCGCGTATACCGAAAACTTTCAAAACCCATCGGTTTCGGAAGGAATTCAAAATCGAGTTCCCAAACAATCTACAACAACACAAGGTTTTGCAACACGGATTTTCAACAAAAGCGTGCGCGCGCGCGCTCTTGCGTCGTCGTCGTCGTCGTCGTCGTCGCCGTCCTCCCTCCTTCCGCGTCGTTGTCGTCGTCGTCGTCGTCGCCTACGTCGTCCTCTGTCTTTCCTCGTCGTTGTCGCAGTGGTCGTCCTTCCTCCTCCTCCCTCGTCGTCGTCGTCGTCCGTCGTCGGCGTCTCGTCGTCGTCCCTCCTATTTCGTCGCCGTCGTCGTCGTCGTCGTCGTTGTCGTCGTCGTCCCTCCTCCCTCGTCGTTGCCGTCGTCTGCATCGCCGTCCTTCCTCCTTCTTCGTCGTTCGCGTCGTCGCCGTCCTCCCTCCTCCCTCGTCGTTGTCGTTGTTGTCGCCGTCGTCGTCCTCCCTCCTTCCTCGTTGTCTTCGTTGGCGACGTCGTCGTCGTCTTCGTCGTCGTCGTCGGCGTCGGCGTCGTTGTCGTCTTCGTCGTCGTCGACGTCGGCGTCGTCGTCGTCGCCGCCGTCGTCGTCGTCGTCGTCGTCGGCGTCGTTGACGTCGTCGTCGTCGTCGGTGTCGTCGTTATCGTCGTCGTCGGCGTCGTCATCGTCGTCGTCGTTGTCATCGTCGTCGTTGTCGGCGTCGGTGTCGTCGTCGTCGTCGGTGTCGTCGTCGTCGTCGTCGTCGTCGTCGTCGTCGAAGTCGTTGGAGACGTCGTCGGTGTCGTCGTAGTCGTTGTCGGCGGCGTCGTCACCGTCGTTGTCGCTGTCGTCGTCGGCGTCGCTGTTGTTGCCAAGTGCCATGTGGTACCCACCGTCACGGTCTTAAGAGACTTTGCAAACCAAGTTGCGGGTGGGTGGTTGGGATGTTTGCGCGAGCAGTGGAGTGGACAAGTCATTGCGAACAGCAATTAACTGCACTACATAGATCGCACCAGTATATTGCTCCACGTCGATGACACACCATCCATTGTTAGAAACACCGCCAGGGGTCTTCGCTGGCTGACACGCATATACTCATACATACATTCATACATACATACACACGTATATACATATCGATATACTTATTCATATGTATACAGATATAGATATACATATATAGTTCGGTCGGAGTTGCGGCCTGTCGGTTTCAGTCGGTCGCGGGTTTGCTGTCGGTTCGGTCTCGTTTCGGACGCGGGGCCTTGTACGTGGGCTCGGGGCTCCCCACACTGAGTGGTGACCGCACCCTGTGGTGAGCCAGTGGGTTTCGGGGCCACCGCACGGTCTTGGGGCTTGGGTCGTTCTCCGCGGATGGTTCGGGCGCCTGGGGCATCCCAGCTCCCAAATCACCACTTGGGACGGACCGCGCCGGGAGGCCGTTGGGGCTTCCGAGGCCACCACGCGGTCCGTCACCACACGGTTTTGTGGTCCCGTGTCGTCTTCCTCTTGTCTCCCTTCCTCCTCCTCTTCCTCCTCGTCCTCCTCGTCGTCGTCGTCCTCCTCCGGAGCCATTTTGGCTCAGGCCGCACTTTCTCGAAACGACCGCCGCCAGGCCCCCTGCCCGACGCCGCCCCCGATCAGCCTCCCCTCCAGGGAGCGGTTCCAGGGCCTCTGCGGGGATGCCGGCCAGCGCCGCCGCTCGCCGCAGGAGCCTCGTGCCGGCCTCGCTGGCGGCAGCCGCCGCCCTGGCCGCCGTCTCGCGCACCTTCGTCGCGCCCTCGGCGGCGCCCGCGGGGCGCTCCTCGCGGACGGCCGCGCGCGGCTTCAAGGAGGACTTCGAGGCGTGGAGGGGCTCCCTCACGCCAGAGGAGAGCACCATGCTGAAGAAGCAGGCGGCGGGGGAGTTCAACAAGAAGTTCCGCAAGTCCGACGAGTTCAAGAAGGACCTGCCGGACGAGAAGGTGCAGTCCTTCTCGAAGATCCTCGGCAAGTTCTTCGAGGCGGAGGCCGACGACTACAAGAAGGAGCCGGGGTCTGAGGCCCCAGACCCTGACGGCCTGCTGTTCAAGGGCACCGAGTCCAAGATGGACTTCAGGCTGAAGAGCCGGATCGTCGAGATCGACCGCGACGCGGAGCGCCGCTACCATTTCGCCGCGTTGAGGACCACGCACGCCGCGTACAGGGGGGAGTTTTGGCCGAGCAGCTCCCCGATGAAGGACGTGTACTATTTCCAGAACAATGACACGGACTCGCACGACATGTTGGTGAAGGCGGTCGAGAATGCGGGGGTTCCTGTGGAGGTTCCTCCGGTCGGCGAGAGGTTCAGCCTGGTGCTTCCCAGATGCTTGTTTCAAGATATCAACGAGGTCGGCGCCAATCTCATTGCCTGGAAGGAGCAGTTTGGCGTGTCGGATGACGACTACAAAAAGGCGGTCGAGAAGGTCACCACCGACCTGATTTTGGGATACTATAAGGCCCGCGAGACGATTGAGAAGGACGTCACGGACATGAAGAATTTCTTCAAGTCTCAGTCGAAGGATTTGTACAAGACCAAGGCCGATGTCATGAAGGAAATCTGGAGGGTGTTCGAGGAGAAGTCCGGCAAGAAGATGCCCCCACTGGACGAGGAGTTTCTGGCGGATCTCGAGAAGATCCCTGCCGTGGACGAGATCTCGTTCAGGCACCCCTGGGGTATCGCTGACAAGCTGTACAAGTCGGAGGCTATCGACGCCTTTGGCTTCAAGTACCTGCTCGGCGTCTTCGAGACCGTCCCGGAGGCCGAGGCGGCCTTCGACAGCTGGAACGCCGAGTTCGACCAGGCGCGCGCGGACATGGAGAACGAGCTGGGCCAGTGGAGCAAGCAGGAGCAGGCGCGCCTCGACGCCGACACCGCTGGCCAGGAGGCCATGAAGGTCGTGATGGAGCAGGGCAGGGCCTGAGGGCCTCGGCCAGGCCCCGCCCCGCGCGGGGCACGACGGCGGCCGAGCGCCGCGATTTTTGCCGAGGGCGCCGCCGCTCGCCCTCGAGCCCTCAGAGTCGGTTCCCGAGAGCCTCCGCCCGCCTCCGCGCCGCCGCGGTGAGCGCCCGTCCTGATTGATGGGCTTGTTGTCCACCACCACCACCAGAAGTTGGAGGGGGAGGGGGTTCTCCTCCTCCACGTCCTCCTCCTCCTCCTCCACCTCCTCCTCCTCCTCGTCCTCCTCCTTCTCCTCCTCGTCCTCCACCTCCTTCCCCCTCCAACTTGTGGTGGTGGTGGAAGAAAACAGGACCATCACTGATGGGCGGGCTGGTTTTGAGCGGAGGCCCCGAAGACGAGTCTCTGCCACCGTGTGCCGGGCTTCTCCGCGGCGCGCACAATGTGGAACGGGGATATGCGGGCCGCCAATCTTCGGCGCGCCTTGGCACGGAATTCGGCGGCAAGGTTTTTTGACCCAGGTCGCGCTGTTCGCCTTCGCTGGGCGGAGCTCCTCCTCCTCCTGCCTGCTGGCCCCCAGGACGCGCGCCTCCGCCTCTCGGGTCGTCTTCCTCCTGCCGCGCGTCCAGCTGCCGCCCCCCCCCCCCACGTCCGTCGCGCCCCGTGGAGCGCCGCGCCCCCGCCTGGCCGCGCCGCCGCCCAGGGGCCATGGACTTCTTCGGCCCGGGCGCGCGGGTGGACTCCTCGAAGCCCATCACGGTGGCCCGGCGCGGAGCACGTGTCGGAGGAGGAAGAAGTGTTCCTACCCCTACCCTTCGCCCGTTTTGCCATTTTTTGTGCCTCCTGGGAGGCCCTCGTCGCCACCGCTGGATTCGCCTCGAAATTCTGATCAGGACACACACACACACCCACACACACACACACCCCACACACACCCACACTCACACACACACCCACACACACACGCACACGCAAACGCACACGCACACGCAAACGTACACGCACACGCACACGCACACGCACACGCAAACGCACACGCACACGCACACGCACCCGCACACGCACACGCACACGCACACGCACACGCACACGCACACGCACACGCACACGCACACGCACACGCACACGCACACGCACACGCACACGCACACGCACACGCACACGCACACGCACACGCACACGCACACGCACACGCACACGCACACGCACACGCACACGCACACGCACACGCACACGCACACGCACACGCACACGCACACGCACACGCACACGCACACGCACACACACACACACACACGCACGCACGCACGCACGCACGCACGCACACGCACACGCACGCACGCACGCACGCACGCACACACACACACACACCCACACCCACACCCGCACGCGCACGCGCACGCGCACGCGCACGCGCACGCGCATGCGCACGCGCACGCGCACGCGCACGCGCACGCGCACGCGCACGCGCACGCGCACGCGCACGCGCACGCGCACGCGCACGCGCACGCGCACGCGCACACGCACGCACGCACGCACACACGCACACACACACACACACAACACACACACAACACACCACACAGACAATGACACAGACACAGACACAGACACAGACACAGACACAGACACAGACACAGACACAGACACAGACACACACACACACACACACACACGCACGCACACACGCACGCACGCACGCACGCACACACGCACGCACACACACACACACACATTCACACACATTCACACACATTCACACACATTCACATTCTCACACATTCACATTCACACACATTCTCACACACACACACACACATTCTCACACACATTCACACACATTCACACACACATTCACACCCCCCCCCCCCCCACACCCCACACACACACACACATTCACACACACACACACACCGGGAGAGGTCTGGAGAGTAGCGGTATCGGTACCTGTTGGTTTTCCCAACACGAGACTGCGCCGGGGTTCAGGAGACGGGTCGATGCAAACGGGGGTCAGTCAGGGTGCCAGATCCTGCAGGATGCTGCAGAGCCAGGGTCGCATCGACCCGGGCTTGGGTGCAGGCTCTTGCAGGATCTTGCAGGGTCCTGCAAGGCCTGACTGGCCTCGGTTTGGACTGACCCGTCCGAGGCGGGAATTTTACATGACCACCGCCTGGAGGGTCAGTTTTCGGAGCCTCGGCAGGCGGTGGATATGGACATATTCGGGCCCCCCTGGGGCCGAAATCTAGCCATATCCGCCGCCCGCTGGGGCACCAGGACGTCGGTTCCCAGGCGGTGGATGTGGATAAATCCCCGCCTCGCAATCCGTAGGAGGGCACCAACCATACACCAACACCGATCCTGGCCAGGATCACCCTGGGCCCAGGCTTGGAGTATACGCCCTCCTGCCTTGGGCAAGACGGCACATGTACACCGGTCCTTGGCCCAGGGTGATCCCGGCCAGGATCGGTGTTGGTGTATGGTTGGTGCCCTCCGAACCCGGGCCAGCAGATCCCCGAGTGCGGCCGAGTGTCGGCTGTGCGTGAGGGAGCGACCCCTCGCTGGGGTGACCTGTGGCGCGCGGCTCTCGGGGGGGGCGCCTGCGGGGGCCAGGCCTTACAGCACGCAAGCCACGGTCGTCGCACCGCGCGCCGCGGCCGACGCGCCGCGCTCCAAAGGGCACTCCAGCCGAGAATTCGGCAGTTAGATTTGAGTCGGGCCTGTCCCTCTACAGGGAGAATGTTCAAAAATAGTCAAAAAATTGTCGGGGGACGATTTTTTGACCATCTTTGGAAATGTTTGGGGTATCTTTTAGCTATTTTTAATTTTTAGTCCACAGTCCCCCTGTAGGGGGACAGGCCCGACCTAAAGTTAGATCTTACGGTTGGCGTTGAAAAGATAGCGTGCGATTTGGCGCCGCCAGTCCGCTTCGCGCACACCATCTCCCACCTTGGGCATGGCGTGCACCGAAGAAGCTCTGGCAGGGGGCATGGCGTGCACAGAAGGAGCCCTCGCGGGGGGATCGCTTCTCAGGGATACCGTGCTCTCCGGAGATGGACACTGCACGCCATCTTTCCAGCGCCAGCCGTCTGGGAAGATTGCCCTTGCCAGGGTTGGCTGGATGGGTAGGCCTGGAGCGGCTGCTGGGGAAGGCCAGACTTGGCCGGAAGGTTGGTTGGGGTTGGCCGGAGGGGTGGCTGGGGTCAGTATCGTTTAACCGATCCCTGTCCCCATCCCCAGCCACAGCTCGAGCCCCACCGTCTCACCACCTGGGTTGGGGATTTGCCCCTCGAAACCCGAAGATAGCAGCAGCTATCCCCATCAGGGGGGGTACATCGGCCAGTTGGGCCCAGCCCACGCTGGTGGGTATGGGGATCAGTTAAACGATGCTCACGGGGCAATTGTCCGATATATTGTTCTTTCCGTGAGGCGTAGGCGTAGGTCGACCTTGCCAAACCCAGGGTACGGCGTGTGTCTTGTGCATAGTGTCTCATGTCCTCTGCATTCCCAGGGCAAGGGGAAGTCGTATTTTGGAGCCATGCGTGCTCTATTCAATCAAAGTGTACTGCGGCGGAGGAAGAGGAGGAGGAGGAGGAGGAGGAGGAGGAGGATGGAAGAGGAGAAATAGGCGGGTGAGGCGCAGGAGTAGGAGCAG